AATTTAATTAATTAATTAAATTAATTAATTAATTAAAGTTAGTTCAAGTATGACAACATTTAAGACACAATTAAGCTTTACTAAATTTGCACTGATATTAAAACTCATGAAGGTGCATTTATTATAGTATTATTACATTGTTTTTTTTATTAGCAGTATTCCTGATGTGTTTTTGATGGGAATAAATAAAATGATGAGTAAATGAGTAAATGGCTCTAAAATTATAGAGTAAGTTGTAATTATTTGCAGTAATGAAAATTATTTATTATTTCAAACCAAACAACTAAAGTGGCCAATACTTTAAATGAGAATACAGTAGACTGTTTCATTCATGATGCCAGAAAAATACGTAGGTTCAAGAAGTCTTGATATGAAACGACACAAACCCTGTATACCGCTTCAGTAACGGTAATATATATATCAAAAGGTAGGTAGGGTTTTAATCACGTGTTTGAGCTTAAAAGGTGTTTTCTTATACAAAAATATGTTTAATTTTCAAAAAGTGGTTCCTTACTTGCAGATGGACAGAAAATTTGCACATAATATGTGACATCAATTATGCACCAAAACTATACTGTTGGGCCTATTATTTCTCCTTGGAAGTTCAGCGGTAAGGCTGATGGCTTATAACCATAAAAAGAGGGTTTTGATACCCATAGAGAACCAATTATGAATGGTTCTGTTTAAGAACAAACAAACAAACAACGACTCATTGTTTGGTTCTATTTTCATCTTCGTGAAAGCTAGCAAACATAATTGTGCATCTACATTTATAATAAACCGATTTTCCCCTCTTTTACATGAAAAAATAACGATTTTGTTAAATAAGTATCATATATCATTTCAATTATTTTTCTTTACTACTTAATCATATAACTCACTTACTATAGAACTGAATTTATCTCAGTCTATTACACGCTCAGTGGTACCATTATAATGAATAATATGATGGAAAAATGTTATCCTGTGTTTTTATTTTGATCATCATTTGGCGCTTTGTAAACTGGGATGACAGTAAAATAATGCAGCTGTAGTTTTTAGTTCTTAAAAAAAATGTCTGAAATATTCATTTTTAAAAGTCAATTTTTTTATTTTATTTTCAGGTGGACTTGGTATGTTTCTATAAACAATGAATACGTCATTTATATAGAAATACGTTGTTTTTCAGGGAGTTTGCCTTGGGTACTGACAACTACGGACAGTACTTACCATGACATTTTAGATAAGCCAAGAAATACGTTGTTTTTCAGGGAGTTTACCTTGGGTACTGACAACTACGGACAATATTTACCATGACACTTTAGATAAGCCAAGAAATACGTTTATTGATTCGAACTACTTCAAAAGTTCATAGTGAATGCTTGATAGTACTAGGAAATATTAATAATCAAAGGTTCTGCTAATACATTTCATATTTTACTGTAAAGCAGCTGATACATTATATTAACACTTGGAGACGGCTTGAATGGGTAATGAATAAAAACTTTAATATAAGTTTAACATAACAGCAAATGTACAATGTTTCGACAAGGTTTTGTCTTCATTAGGTATAAGTACTTTACAAGTATATCTATTAAAAACACAGTAATTTTAAACAAAGAACCAAACGAAAAATCAAGGAATCTATCTTAATTGAACAAAACAACCATAGTCTAAACCAACGCCCTGGGGTGCCAAGATATCTCTTCTAAGTATTGCAACAGTATCCGGTCA